ATCATCATCAAAATTTATTATAATTTACTGAAGCTTTACAAAATTATATGGATTAGAAGCATGGCACAATTAATAAAAACAAAAAATAGATAAAAGTATATGTAACACCATAATACTACCGAGCAAAAAATATAAGACAAAATGTTTTAAATTTGCATTGTTTATTGAAATTCACACTAAAAATACTGCACTCTTTAACATCATAATATAGCTAAATTATTCAGTATAATTTCCTTTTGAAGTAAATGGACGTTTTATTTGATGGCATAATGATTTATTAATAATGTGCTAGTTACTTGCATATTGTCCATATACAATTTGTAAAGCCTTAATAAATTATCAATTTTATAAGGTTGCGCTATAAGCTTTTCACTGATCAATGGAATAAAAATCCAACGCTACAAATTTTAATCGAAACTAAATCATTTAAGTTCGTCTCCTCAAAAAATGGTAACGATATTTTGTGTCCTTATTTATTATGTCAAACCCTACTTTTCAAATGGAGTAACAATAAGCCGTTTCTAAAATGAAGCTGCTGTAATGGAGAGGAAATGTCCATTTTTTTCCTTTCCCATTTTGATAGAGTAAACTAGCGTCTCTTAGTTCTTGTGGGTGATGTGGAAGTCAGATCGGGCCGAATATATTACATCATAATATAGCTAAATTGTTCAGTATAATTTTCTTTTGAAGTAAATGAAGGTTTTATTTGTTGGCACATTAATTTAGTAATAATGTTCTTGTGCCATACATCTTGTCCGTATACAATTTGTAAAGCTTCAGTAAATTATACATTTTAATAAGGCTAAGTGTTATAGTAATAATGTGCTTGTGCCTTGCATCTTGTCCTTATACAATTTGTAAAGCTTTAGTAAATTATAAATTTTATAAGTCTATGCTAAAAGATTTTCACTGATGACCAGAATGAAATTCCAGCGCTACTTTTGTTTTTTTTTTGTATTTTGAACCTAAACTTAATCTTCAAACTGATTTCCTCAAAAACTGGTGACGATTTTGAAAAGTATACGCTTCGATTTTGAACCTAAACTTAATTTTTAAATTTAAAAAAATTTTAAACTCTTCTCCTCAAAATAAGGTGCCGTTATTTATGATGTGAAACCCTAATTTTCAAATTGAATGCAATACCGTACTTCCAAAACCGACCTGTTCTATTCAACAGGGGCAAACGTCAATAAAACAATAGTGGAATACAACACATAAGTCAGCAACATTCCGTGGTGGCAATTTTTTTCTCTGCTAACACTCAAGTAAGTATATGAATCTTTTCACAAAAAGCATTGCTACCATATCTGGGCTGTAACTAACTGATCCTTACTTTTCTAGCCTTGATCAAGTTCAAAATTGTTTTCACGTCTTTGTTGGTGAGAAAGGATTTTCTAACCTACAACACCTTTCCAACCAAGGAAATATTCCTAGTATCTCGCTATCTACATTCTTTGGTTTCGCCAGTCCATACATTTATAGATAGGATCCTAGGTACTCAGAAACGACACATTCTCCTCTATACGTATTCCATTAGTAAGGAGGAAGTTTCAACCAGATATCTTCATCTCCAGAACCGTTAAATTGTGGATCAGACTCCCGAGAGGAAGGTAACCCGATTACTACCATCTTAACCTTTTCAGATCTAAGGTCAACCGTTATCTATGCTACATATCCTCATAATATGCACCATTTACATCCTTCTTTGTACGCACAACAGCATTATTCAGTAACCCTCTGCCTTGAGGTGTTATTGGGCTTTTTATTCGATGAAAATAGTGATAAAATAACAAGAGATTACAAATGAAATTCGCTATAATTGTTAGATAAAATGAAAGTCCTGGGTGAAATTTTGTGTCGAACATCAGTCAACCTAAACTTTACCCTAACCCTGCCAAAAGAATGAACCCTAACCCTAATCATAACCCTATCCTAGACGTAAACTTATCCTAAGCTTAATTAGACCGAGATATTTAACCCTAACCTTACCGTAACGTAAGCCTAACCCTGCCGAGAGAATTGATCTTTGATCCTATTTCTAACTTGACTTCAAACATAACTCTACTGAGAGAATTAACCCTAAATTTACTCGTATTTTGCCGAGAAAATTAACACTAATCCTAATCCTAACACTGCTGAGGGAATTATTCTAAACCACTGCAAAGGGAATTAATCTAAACCATTCGCTAACTCGAAACTTCCCTTAACTTAAATACCTGACCGCTAAACTTGCCCAAACTCTAGCCAAAACATAAACCTGATCTTAACATATCCGAGACATAACACTAACATCGCCTTAACACTTGGTATAACATCTAACCAAAACCCTATCTAATTTGATAATAATTATATTTTATTCTAAACAATTTGCAAGGTATGTGTATGGCAAATATATATTTTTAAGAGAAATATTTTGACAAACAAAAAAAGAATTGTTTATAAAATAAAGGAAAGCTTTAATCAAATTATACTGGAGAAAACAAGATAACGTATCGACTGAAAATTATGAGGAACTCAATAAAATTAGGATGCTGAATATATAATGGAAAATAAATTCGTCTTGAAAGTTTCAGATCGTACAGTGATAGCAACAGTGTGCATCCTCGATAAAAAAGAAACAATAAAAAAGAAACAAAAATAAACTGTTATAACATTATATATTCGGTGAAATTTTGGTTCAATCATCTATAGAATTATGCCGAAATTACACTCATTTTCCCTCAACGAAGAGAAGTTGCGGGTTTGACCAGGCTCGATCCCAACTCTGAGGAATGTTAATCCACGTTTCACCCCTTTGTCAGTGGCGACTCCAGGAGGTGACTATCTGTAGGCCTGTTTACGACTGATATATGCGCACATATGAAAAAAAAAAAACTTTGGTCAGCTGGATATATAAACTACATTCCAGAGCAAAGCCAGAGCAGTCTCTCACACATCCCTGAGCGAGAAGGTAAGGTCTCCATTCGGATCATGGGTGATTAGGCCGCTTCACACACGCATTGGCGGTCAGTAAATGATAATGTATGAAAGTGAATTAAAATGGAAAATTAAATACGAAAGATTCAAGTTTAGTGTTACTTATTCCTTCACATGTGTCAGCTGTTTGGCGCCACACGCAGTTCGATACAACTTGACAGATCTCCAGACAGCCCTGAGGAAATCTGATCTGTTCATTGATTGAAAGCTAACCATAAGAAAATATCGAAAACGTTTTAATTCACAGAATATTGATTATGAAAGGACTATATTTACATTTCAATTTTTTCATATGACATCTATGTTTTATATTCTAGATTCATCGGACGCCAAAATACAAAATCGTGGTTATAATGGAATATTTTTGATTTATCGCAAAAAGAAATAGCATCATATAAAAGCAAATCCATTCAAAATAGACGTACCTGAAAAAAGCTAGTTTTATAAATAGGAAAAAATCGTTTCCATGTTACAATCATTTTAAACTCATTTTCATTTTATTATTCATATTATTACACGTGCTTTATTAAACGCATAATTTTATAGGATTTTTTAAAATTTATTTTGCTTGAAGGCAAGCTGTTGGCTAAAATGGCGGGCAGATTTTCCACAGCAAGTTCTCAAAGTTCTGTTCTTATAAACGTGCTTGTTAAATAATAATAATAATAATAATAATAATAATAATAATTAAAGAATACAAACAAAAAAATTGCCTTAAAGATTGCCTCCTTATTATATGGCAGTCCCTACTGACTGCAATGTATCTTTGAAGATATTCAAAAAGCTGTCAAAATACAAGGACCTTGAAATCGAAATCTCAAAAATGTGGCACATGGGAACATCAACAATCCTTGAGGTTGAAGACCTAGGATTGGTTGGAAAAGACTCCATTAGACTAATTGAAAGGATTCCTGGAAGTCTATGCTTCAAAGAAATTGTTCTGAGAAGTACAGCCCACACTTTACGAAGGGCTTTATCTATGTAATTTTTTTTTTTTTTTGTAAGTGGAAAATGTCATGATACCATTTCTAACCTTAGGTCACTGGGCGGGACCTGGAAAGAAATGTGTAAACGCCAGAAATCAAAGAAAATAATAATAATAATAATAATAATAATAATAATAATAATAATAATAATTGTAGAGATAATAATGAGATAATGATATAAAAAATTATATAAGAAGAACAATATTGGGGGTAATATATATGTTGAAAATGAAAGAAGCTTTTCGTCCCTTACGACATTATCGTACTAAATTTGTTATGTTGGTGCGACATATGAACAAGGGATTCTGGGAATTTAAATTTTCAACATGTAATCTAGCCTATTTTATTTAGATTCTCTTTATTTTCCATTTAGAAATGAAGATAAAACAATAAAAAATAATAACGAGGAGCATAATTGTAATAATGATAACACAAAATAATAATAATGTAATATTAACAATGATAATAGTATAATGACACAATAACGATAATAAATGTGATGATAATAATAATAATAATAATAATAATGATAATAATAATGATGATAATAATAATGATAAAATAAAATAATAATAATAAATAAAATTATAATAATTGTAACGATAATAATGATAATGATAAAATAATAATAATTATTATAATTATAATAATAATAGTCTTGATAATAATAATAAGTATAATAATATTGATATTAGTAATGACATAAAACTAGTGATAATAATAATGATACTGAAAATAGAAACAATGTAATAATTTTGATAATTATATTAATAATAATAAAAAAAAGAAGAAAGTTGGCTCCAAAAGTAAAGAGAAGAGAGCTGGATCCAAAAGTAAACAGAAGAAAGCTGGATCTAAAAGTAAGCATATGAAACATGGATCCAAATGTAAGCAGAATAAAAAGGGATCCAAAAGTAAACACAAGAAAGCTGGATCCCAAAGAAAAAAGAATAAAGCTCGATACAAGAGTAAACAGAAGAAAGCAGAATTCAAAAGTAAATAAGAGAAACCTGGATCCAGAAGTAAACAGAAGAAAAC